TTCTCGCCCAAGACCCGTCAAGAATAAAGGTAAAAAGGGCGTTTACTTCTGATTAAACCTCTAACACTATCAAACCTCGAATTTGAGCTAAAAAAGTTGTTTCTCAAACAATGCCTAAACATCAATTCCACTTTGAGTATCCAATTACAGTGGATTTACAGATTTAAGATTGTTGTTTTAAAAAAAAAATTATTTATAAGTTGTGTTACACATATAATATGTTAAGCCTAACATGTATATTGATTTGTTAAACATATTCGCAAGTCCCAAAATTCTTGCACATTATGTGTTAAAAATATTCGTAAGAAAAAAATAAAAAATTATGTGATAATTTGGAACAAAGTTAGTATATCTACGATTGTGGCCCAATGTTCACATATGAACTTGGACTTGGTCCATGAGATATAAATTTGCAAAGTTAATTTAATCAACGGTATGAATGAATATGACTGGTCACGTGAAAGGCTCGTTCCCGTTTGTTCATTGATTGGATTGGATAATAGCAGTTGCAATAAATCATTCTTTTGTCTGTTTATGACTTACTTGGAAGTTGGACAAATGACACCTATTTATTTCCGTTGTAACTTGTATATTGCGAGGGAAATTCCTTCTACTTCTATATTTTAATTTTTAACCACCTTTTGTCTAGGCATTTTAATATTTAACTAGTTTTTGCACAGATATAAATAAAATTAAATATTATAAGTTATATTTATGTATATAATATAAAAATTATAAGTTATATAATTGTATTATATTTCAAACATATAGTATTATAAGTTATATTTATGTATATAATATTAAAATTATAAATTATATAATAGTATTATATTTTAAAATTTGATCATTGGTTAAAATAAATAGTACACACGATTTGATTGTATACGAATCACTATATTGATTGCATAAAATGCAATAAATATATACTTTTTTATAATTTTGAGTGATCATGACCAATTAATTAGCTGAAAAATATTACATTTATTATAACAATTGCTTATGTGATTTTAAGAAAATTTACTATGACATAAAAATAATTAATTTATTAATAAACAACATCTTCATCATATAAAAAAATATTGATTTTAGTGTAAAATATAACTTTATGTAACTTTCATATATTATTTAGTATAAAATATAATTATTAATTTTAATATTAACTATTATATTATTCAATAAAAAATATAATTATTAATCAATTAACATAAAATATAATAGTTTTTGTCTTAATAACCCAAAAAATGTAATAAAATATTTTCTTATTAATGAGATTGGGTGTATTAATGCCACATAAATAAAATTTATTAGGTTCTATTTATTAGGTTTTATTAATAATTTGCCACATAGGTAAAATTTATTAGGTTTTATTTATTAGGTAAAATTTATTGCTTAGCTAGCAATTATATATATATAGACTCGGCTATATTTATTTTGAAAATTCTTCTCTATTTCAAAATAAAGTGTTTGCAGTGCGCTTATAAACAATAGTTTAAAGTGTACCCATCGATAGTTTAAAGTATTACTAGAGTAGCTAATGTAATAGCATATATAGATTTTAATATTAAATATGAAAAAATAAAATAAAAATTAAATAAATATATTTACTAAGTCTCAACTTCTTACATAAAAATATGACTACAAATTCAAGTTTTTATTTTTTTAGAGTCGAATTAAATTTCCTTTTATTCTGTATATTTTTTGTAATTCTTGGCAGGTATTTTATATTTTTATGATATTTTGTCAGGTATTTTTTAATACAAGTCTAGTACAATCTACCAGTATTATCATAATCCTGATACTTTATCGATATTTTATGATTATTTATTCCAAAATATAGTTTTTACGTTAGGATTATTTTCAATAATACATACCATCTATATTTTTTTTTCTTGGAATGATAGAGTTTTTAAATTAAAACTTATAAATACAATCCTGAATACAACTAGTAACAATTAACTAAAATTATACGGTCGAATTCAAGTAGAGGCCTATACAACGACACATCGGTAGCCTAAAATCAACAGCAGTAAACACACCCACAAGACCGTGAAAAAAAAAATAAAAAAAATCAAACTCTCACAAGTAGAGACTAAATGGAGACTAAAAACTAAAACACGACAAACACTAGCACACTCCAAACACCACACACAAACATCCAAAACAAGTTAGAACCTACAATAAAGCCCTCCCCAACCACCATCAAAACTCCTAAAACTACCAAACGAGACGACCTCCTTACAACAGACAGATTCACAACCCAAACCAAGATCTAGAAACTGCATCAAATGAAAAATTATATGGCATAGATGTGAGATA